CTAAGTCAGGGCATGGCTAATTCACAGATTGAACCCTGAAACAAACTCTGGGCAACTCTGGCAAACTCTTGTGCAATAGGGAAACTAAAACCAGAGAAAAACCCTTGAATCATATTCTAAATACCGTGCACCTCAGTCAGATTGGATATGAAAGACGTAAATACTAACTCAAGTGTGACGTCACGGAAAAATAAATTTTGACTTTAATCATTTTCGATCTCTAATTCCTGTAGCCAATCAAAAAAGACGTTTACTCACCAAATTTGACGAGAATCGGACAAATATCCAGATATGACCATTTGAACATATGATTACTCCATATGCAAATCACTATTTTCGGACGTTTGGAACCGAGCCGAAAATACAGTGATTTGTATGGAGATTATATATTCAAATGGTCATATCTCAGCTGATATTTGACCGATTCTCGTCAAGTTTGGTGTGTAAACATCTTTTCTGATTGTCTAACGAATTTGTTAACCAAAAATATAATCAAGCGAAAATTAATTTTTGTGACGTCATCAGTTGAGTACTCTGTTGTGATCACACCTATGGATTAGTGCGATGTAGCAAGCATTTTGGTCAAACTTTTGTAAAAATATATGCTTACATAAAAAGAGATAACTAGCTAAAAACTAGCGTGAGCTGCGTCGGTGTTTCTAATGAAACAGTAATGATAAAAAGTTAAATTTACACCGTGAAAAGATGAAAAGACTTACTGACTTTTCGGACGCTGGTCGTGGTTCGTCGGAGCAAAAGAGCATATAAAATATGTGTTAGCTGCTTTAGGGAAAAGGCAAGTCGAAGCTATAATCCTACTGATTAGGTCTGGTCGGGAAGAAGACCCTTTAAAAACTCCATAATTATAACATAATTGGGCCTTACTAATTCTTTTACTACCTGCTTGGGTGAACATGAGAGCGACGAGGCAGCAAACGACACCAAAAACCAAAGCCTTCATCTTCGATTTCAATACAGGAAAATTCGTGGTCTGTATGAATTGTCTTAGTATCGAGTGGTTTATATATAGTGATTATTGGTTAAATTTAGCGAATGATGTCATATTCCACCTTGAAATTCCATTTTCGTGACGTTAATGAATACAATACAATACTTTATTTATTCTTGGACTAAAGATAGCAAGTACATGCTAATATCTCCAAGTATAAATGAATGCTTTTTTTGCTGGCTATTGGAGTCCTTGTGCTCTTGGCAAGGCTTGGGCATCCATAAACTCAGTGATTTTCCCATTTTAGACCACGTGTAATTCCCTAGAGCACAATATCTTTGTTTAACGTGGTCTGAAATGTGTAAATATTACGCTCAACATAACGTGATTAACCATCGTGAGTTGCCTTATGCATGGTTAAACCTTTGGGGGGAGGGGGGGGGTGAAATTGCTGAAATGAAGGAAATGTATATAGAACCTCAACAAGTGAGATAAGAGAAGGGAGCAGAAGAATCAAACAGAAGAATAAGGAGAAGAAAATTATATCAAGTAAAGATTGTAACGATTTTCGTGAGTGACTAGATCATCAAGATGACGCTATATCGTGTATCTATTTTCGATATTCATCGCTATGGTAACCTAAATGTAACCGGCGGCAAGGCGCTCAGCTATGAATCAGATTGCAAGTGGTTTTGACAAAAGAATTTATTGAAAAATTCACACAACTTTACA